AGATGTGTTTGGGAGAGTAATAAAAGTATTCTCAAATTAGGTTGTGACGATGGTCACACGACTCGAGGAACATACTCGAAACCATTGAAGGAGACCCTTCGGGTGTGTGGACTGTGTGGTGTATGAAGTATAATTCAGTGGGACTTAAAGGAGGAACAGAGGGTCCCGCAACTTTGAGCGATTGGAGAAGATTGACGTTCCGTGACTTGATTTGTCGGGTAACTGCTGTGGCCGGGAAGCACAGCTCCTGATTCTGGCATGGGCCTCAGTACTGGGCACAGTATGTCACCTTCTGCCACAGGTGAATGAGACGTGTCATGAGGAAGAAAATAGGCAAATTTGGGAAGAGTAGAAAACAAATTAGGGGAAGATTTGAAGGCAGGCCTGGGGTCATGGGACATTGCACGGAGAGCTCAGGATGTGGCTTCAGGTGAAGGGACGTTGGCAGAAATGTCTCGGGCTACGGCCAGGTCCAGATTTTCTGTGTCCTTCAAAGGTTCCTCTTCCCTTGGGCACTCAGGGGGATCTATCTTATAGGACTTTGAGTGTTGCTAGAGACGTCTGTCCCCAGAAGTGAGAAGTTGTCCGGGTTGACGTAATGATTCTAGTTGGAAGATTTGGTTAGGGAGAAAACTTGGGGGGCAGCAATTGAGCCGACCAGGGGGAACCACCCTTGTTCTGGAAGATCTGTGAGGCCCAGGCCAGTGCTGGAGGGAGGGCTGTGGCCCGTGCTTCTGTGTGGAGAGTAAAGGGAGGTGTCCTCCAGGGTGACACTGTGCACCCACCGCATTGGTGGCGTTGGCGTGCTGACGTGGAGTCCTGCCTCCTGGGCCCACCGGATCTTCTCATCGGAACACTGTCACTCTCCTTGTGTTACGATCACGTTGACTCCACAGATCAAGGATGATCAAGAAAACTCAAGTCAACTGCTTTTTCTTGAACGCACTGTATCTATTTCATAAGGTCCAGATAGATAATAGGAAGTGTCTGGTATCTTCTGTAGCTTTGCATAATTCTGTTCTTTGTGTATGAAATTAAAAAAAAAAAATCAGCAAGCACTAATTGAGAATATGTTGGCACAGAAATTAAACAGAACGATGTATTCGTTGTCTGTCTTCACGAATCTTCCTGACGTCCATCAAGCCTGTGCTCTGTGTGAGGTGCTGAGTCTGCGGAGATGGACAGTGATCTTTACATCTAGGAATATCCACCCTAGGAGTCACCTGGAAAAAAAAATCACATTATTAAGTCATTGGCCCTTGATGTTTTAGAGTTCACCTGTGGGGCAGGCGTGACCAGATCCCTTCAGAGCCTTCACGTGTGCTGGAGCCAGCAGCCCGGGAGCCAGAGCACAGCTGACGACTCGGACGAGGCTCCAGACCCGCCTCCCCTCAGTGCTGGAGTCGTCAGTGGCCACCGTGGCTCATCCTGTGCAAGGAATTCTGATTCATTTGAGTTAGAGACCTTGTTGTCCTCAGTTTCTATGTCTCTTCTTGTCCCTTCTGAGCCACGAGGCAGTGAGAACACCGAGGCTTGTTCCTCCTCCTAGAGGAGACATGAAAGCGCCCGTCCAGAGTGCTCTGTGGTCGCGTCCAGCCCCCCTGCAGCCTGGGAGGCTTCCCCAGCACCTCTGCACAGCCCTTGGCGGGCTGACGTCAGGTCCTGCCCGGCACGCAGGTTTTCTCCACTGTGCCCACACGGGTGTGTAAGCAGCTAACACTTACGTGCTTTCCTTTAAAGCACAGAATAGAAACTTGAGAAGGCACAAATCAGGACACGGTGAACAGTCCGCCTCCAGCCCCAGAGGCCACCACGTCTGGTATGGCCCCGTCTTTTCCAGGGATGCCCCTGAGGGCCCTGCCAGCCTCCTCTTTCCTCCCAAAGACCTGCTCCAGACGCCCTTCATCTCAGTCACAGGTATTTGAAAGACCTTGGTGACATTTACGTCTGTCTGAAAAGGAAGTGACAGCAGTGTGCGTGGTGTTTCCCTTTTTGCTGGTAATGGTCGGTTAGAAGAGAGGCAGAGTGGAAGCCGGATGTTGGCGCCGAGGCTTCACAGGGAGGTGAGGGCTGGGTGGGCAGGGGCACTGTCTTCACCAGCTGGGCACCGCGTGGGCTTTGGAAAATACAGATGCGCCATCACAACGGCCTTCATGCACGAGGCCTCCTGAGTCAGTCAATGGGGTCTCGCGTGGCAGGGGGCTGAGTTTCTTTCGCCTTTGGATGTCCCTGGCTGTCCTTGCATGGTCCTGGTGGGTTCTCCTCTGTCCTTTGAGGTCATGACACCAAGTGGAAGTAGACGGAAATTCCTAGAGGAGAGTAGTTTTTATTGGGGCCTTGGAGCCTTCAGACAAATAAATCCACCATCCATTTGTGCCTGGTTTTGCCAAAGAGAACCCAATGACTTATTTATTTTTTTTTTTTATTAAAGCATTGCAACAACAAAGATTAAGTCAATCCTGTCTCAAAAAAATAAAAAAAGAATTATAAGGGCTGGAGATTTGCTCAGTGGTCAAGCACCCTGGCTTCCATCCCCAACACCAAAAATAAGTTGCCCCAAAAGCAGGACGTGCCCAGGTTATGTCCCAGGAATGCATTACCGCCCTTCCTGTCATTCTCAGCACACGTCCCACCTCGCCCAGGAGGTGCAACTGTGTAGCCCTTAGCCATCCTTAGCTGGTGACGGTCCCTGCGGTTCCCACTAGGCTCCTGGCTTCCGAGTTGAAGAATCCCACAAAGCACTGCTGTGGGGCTGCTGAGGACCATGGGTTCTGAATCGCAGCCCTCCTTAATGGACGTTCTGCTCCCCCAGCGGGTCTCCTGGTGGAAGTGGTTGTGCGCTGGCATGGGTTGCCCGGTGCAGGTTGTTTCTAGTGTCACACTCAGATTGAAGGATCACGAGGGACCTGCACCGTCTGAGACAGGAGGATCGACTGCATAGTTTGAGCTCTCAGCTGAAGCTAAGGTGGTGGACTCTCACCCATCACTAAGAGCATTTTCCAAGACTGGTTAATAACATGAGAAGTTAGTAACAAAATTATGTCAGATGGAAAAGAATAATGTAATTCTCCATGCAAATGTGTATGGAAAGCATGTGTGTGTTATAGGGTAGTTTTTTTCTTTTTAGTCTTTTCCCAATTTTGCCCAATGAATATATTAGCTCTTATAAAAAGTATGAGAATACTTAAAAAATGTTAGTAAAGGGCCGGGGGTCTAGCTCCGTGGTAGAGTGCTTGCCTAGCATGCACGAGGCCCTGGGTTCAACCCCTAGTATGGTAAGAATAAATACATAAAGTCTTAGTATAAGTTGGTGAGGAAAATACTAAGGATTGGAGCTTTTCTTTTTATCTTAAAGTATGATAGAAACATATTTTGTGTTTTTTTGTTTTGTTAATGATTTTCTTATAATATGTGAGAATTCTAGAACTGTTGACGTTTTCCTTCATTTCTAGTATTTTCAGTAACTGTTTTAAATTCAGCTTTATATCCTTTTCTATTCATGCACCAGCCTGGCACTGAGCATCAACAGGCGTGCTGCGGCTCTCTCTGGGGCTAGGGCAGCTCCACCCGCTTGACTGCTTCTCAAATACGCTTCCAGGGGCTCTGTCACACACTGCTACCTGAGTGCCCTGGTCCCGGGCTGTTCTCACAAGAGGGTCACCTTCCTGGACTTATACATGCCATTTTTCTGTTTAGTTTTGCTTCTGGTTCTATGCTTTCTAATTTAGGGCAAAAGAGTTCATCCTTCTTTCCAAATTATCTTCGATTTCCCAGAGAATCATTAAGAAGCCATAGAGGGACCTGATCACCCTCGCTGAGGTGCCGCTCTGTGTGCCTGTGTGTTAACTGTGAATGCTCCTGGTTCTAAGGGCTCCCTGCACTCTCACTGTGAATTAATTGCCTCAGAAGTCAGGGACAAGTGGCAGTTGTGTACCCGAGCTCTGAGGATGTGGATCGATAACAGATATGAATACACATCCTGACGGTAACATAAAACACAGGCCAGAGTGTGTGTGTGTGTGTGTGTGTGTGTGTGAGAGAGAGAGAGAGAGAGAGGGAGAGAGAGAGGGAGATCGTAATTCTCAGTGCTTGAAGTTCAAAGTCAGGGGAGGCAGCCCAGGAGTTCCCGGCCGCCCTCCCCGTGGAGGGAGCGTGCTCTAGTGGGAAGGAGGCTCTCACTGTTAGTTTTACATTTCTGTTTGATGGAATCTCAGGTTATGGAAACGACTGTAAAAATAATTTGTCTGAAAGAAGTCTGGATGCAGAGACCTAGGAGAAAATATTGGAGTAGACGGTTCATCGTGGAGTGCGACAGACCCCCCTCCCCAAGCACCACATGGCTCCGATCAAAGCACCCCGTGACTTGGATCCGGTGGCCAAATCATTACGCATCGATTGGAGCCCCACTGGAGCCTTAACCCCTTCCTGCTCACCCTCGCCTGGGTCGGGAACGGCAGCAGTGTGGTCTTCCTGGAGCGGCCAGGTTATTTTCTAAAACCTGATCGTGTATTTGGATGGATTGTTCTTGCTAAATTCTTTTACTTTTATTATTGTGAATTATTAACTTGTACTTTACTTTGTTGAATAAGATCATGTGTGAAAAAATATGTGAAAGCAGTTTCAGGAGAAGAAAGGAAGAAAACTGTCCTATTGTGGGTTGGAGACAGAATCACGGGGCTGGAGAGCTGCAGCTTGTGGAGAAGCCTCCGCCCCCAGGGAGGGCTTCGCCTTCCACCAGGGGCCTGTGGTACACTGCCACGCACCACCCTATGGGTGCCTGGTGTGTCTGTGATCGTGTCTAAAGGGGTATGGAGTGTGTTGTTCCAACCCTTGTAGCTTCCGTGTTGCTTTCAAAAACCAAGGTGGAATCAGTAAATTCCAGGGGAAAAGAGAGAGGCCCGTCACATCCGCCCAGGGTGTGGGTTTCTGGTCCTTGATGTCCTCTCCTGCAGGACATTCCTCGCAGCACAGTCACACCTGTCCTTGTGCTTCCCTTTCAGCCTGTCCCACGAAGAGCATCCCCACAGCCATCCTCTGTACGGACACGGCGTGTGCAAGTGGCCGGGCTGCGAGGCCGTGTGTGAAGACTTCCCGTCGTTTCTGAAGTAAGAGAGGTCCTTTTCTGTGCTGGGCTTTCTGTGGCTGTCACTGCCCATGCTCGCGCTTTGGCTTATCGCGGGTTTGCTGACCTGGGGCTCCACGCCACCGTTCAAGAGTGGTCCCTAAGCTCATGTGCCCCGCATACGGTCCCAGGAGCAGTGACAGAATCCAACCGCGGGTGGATGAAATCGATGGAGATGTGGCAAGGGCAGCGAGACACTTGCTAAGAGCCTGACTTTAGCCATTTCTCAGAGTGTCAGTGATTTTTTTTTGTTGTTGTTTGTTAATTTGCGATGTTTTAGTTTCCACTTTTTATTTAAGTTGCATGTGCTGGTCACATCTGGCATACACGCTAGCTTGACGACAAAGCTGGTGTCTGTGCTGGTCCGCTGTACCCGGGCGACTGGGCCCTTCTTTGCTATAAGGCAGAGGACTTTGTAAGGTCGGGAGTGCTGCTGACCTGCTCCTTACCTTTAAACCATGTTACTGTTGACCATTGTTCAGCTCCTGGGGCTCGCAGGGAGGATGCCCAAAGACCCCCTTCTGCAGCTCACTTCCACGAGCTCCATCAGATCTGTTGGGAAGCGGTGGGTGCGTCTTGGCCCAGCGGGAGGCTGCTCTCTGCACTTGGGTGCCTCTCCAAGGTCCTTCCATGTTGGTCTAAGCCACAGGCCTGCCCTGCTTGTTGACCTCACAGAACAACACCACTGACCTGCAGGCTGAAGGCCGTGTGGGTGCAGTGTCCATCGTGTGGCGATATCCTAGTGTGCACAAGGACACTTGTGCCTCTGTCACAGGCAGAGGCACCTGTGCTGCTCCCCCCTCTGTGGGTGCACGGCAGCTTGCAGACATAGAGGGGGGTTGGGGGGCCATCCTTTCTCTGACGCGTTTCTCCCGCATGTGGGCCCCAAGAAAACAGGCGGGCCCATTGGTGTGGCCATTACAGGGTGAGGACAGTCTCCCTGTCTATCTCTTCGGACCTGGATACAAATACTGCAATAAAGCCCCCTCAGAGGCACACCCAGTGCCACTGGGAGCCATTTTGGTGAAGGCAGTCTTTTGATTAATGCATAGAAGCCTGTGAGTCGTCTTCATAGCCTCCCAGCTGGACTCCTCCACGTCAAGAGCATCATGTGGTTATTGAAAACTTAAGTGCTAAAATTACTTTTAGAGAGTTATGCACATATCTATAAAGCACAAATTTTCAAAAACTATAAATAAATAGGAGAACCACTAGAGTAGGGAAGGGGAGAGGGGAAGGAGAGGGCAAAGGGTGACGACTGAGTTGGATCAGATGATACTCTGTGCTGTGTAATGGTGTCCAAATGGACCCAGCCTGTGCATGACCATAGGCAATAATAACCAATATTTTTACTGGGGAAAAAGAGAACAAAATGGCCATTAAATATCGAGAGCTGTGATGCTCTGTTTAAACCAGTCACTGTCATTCAGATTGAGGATACTCTGCTCTGTTTCTGGTATAAATCAATCATTATGAGATCTTTGTTTTGCTATCTCCCGATCATTTGCCTAATTATATTTATCTAAGGAGAGGAAAGAACTGGGCAGAAGAGCCTTCTGAGTTCTAAGTCCTTCCTCTGCACTGACCCCAGGTGAACATCTCCCTGATGCCCCTTATGACTGACTATTGCAAAGTCCCTAGAGCTGAAGGATCGCTGCGTGACCTGGATCCACCATAGAGCTGGAAGGGGATGCCAGGCTCCAGGGTCACTGGTTGGAGACATTTAGCCCTGGTAATGCCCAGATGCTCCACTGCGCAAGCTGACAATTAAGATATCTAGGTGCAGATACTCGTGAGATGCCTATCTGTAGATGGGAGGTATGTGTCTGTGGATGTATAGGATAAGATGATAGCTAGATTCAGATGTAGGGAGAGACCACAGAGGGAGGGAGGGGACAGCAATTCAGACCTGCTCTAGTACTAAAGGGAAGCTTCTCAGGGTAACTGGAACAGGGCCTGCACTTGATTGCTGTGAGCGAAAGTCCCTGTTGCCTCTGGGGACGTTGGGGGTCTCCGTCTTGCCTTGGAGACCACCTGTCAATCACTCATCCTGGTCTCGCATGGCAGGTTCTCAGCCCTGTTGGCTCAGTGTGGTTGCAGTGCCCACTGTCAGCTGGCCACGGCTGCTAGGCTGTGTCCTGGTGCTTATTTGTTGACTTGTGTTTCCCAGAACAGACTAGTTTGCAGGTTGTACAAACCTAACGTGAATTGTCTTAAGGAAAACCAGGCCTACAAGTTGGGGATGATAACTGGCTCCTGTAAGCGAGGGAGTCCAGTAGTGCTGCTCGCTTCAGGAGCGGCTAGATCCAGATGCTTCAGAGGGCTGTTAGAGTATTGGTTTTTCTATTTGCTCTGTGTTCCCTTCACTCTTGGACCCTTTCCAAGTGGAGCTGAAGAACACAGGCTGCCACTGGTCCAGAACGAGTCAATCAAGGTGTGGTACCCAGGATTGTGCCTCCAGAGCAGAGGGAGCAGCTCACCCTAGGGAGCCTGCAGGGGACTAGGGACCAGAGACCCTGCTCCAGAAAGCTAAGACCAGTGTGGCACCCTGGGAAGGGCAGAGCTGCTGCGAGCAGGCAGAGCCCTGTAGCAGGCACCGTGTTCTCGGTGCCTCCCTTAGTTACACATGGCTGGTCTCAGCCCCTCCAGAGCATGGTTTGAATGCCCTGAGATTCAGAGCCTCCAGACTCAGGCTCTTGCTCAGTGCCAGGGAGAGTGCGTGCCTTGCAGATGTGCCTCTCCTGCAGCTGTGCCTGGCCTTGTAGTGAGACCAGCTTTCTCTTCCCCTGCAAAGGGCTACAGGGTGGGGCCAGATCCCGTGGCTCAAGTAGAAACCATGTGGCTTCTGTGAGGGGCGACCTCTGGGCCCGATACCAGTGAGTGGCGGTGGGCGATTGCGGAAGGGTCTCCACGGGTCTCCCCTCCTTGGGTTTGCCTTTTCCCCTCCCAGCAGTGAGCTCTGAGGCCTGGGCAGCTTGACGCAGGTAGTGCTCAGACTCTCCGGGTGTTCTCAACGGAGCGCCTGCTGCTCTCACCTCCACGCTGCCTAGATGTTTCTTCCCCCCCCCCCCCCCCCCCCGTTTTACATCCTCTAGCATTACTTTGTGGTTCACTGACACTGCACCACAGGGACAGTGCCAAGCCCTTCACAAATGTCAACTCATTCGGTCCTCGTAGTAGCCCTTACTGTGGTCAGACAGCAGCGTTCTTCCCAGTGTGCAGGCTAAGGACACCAAGGCACAGAGGAGTTAGGTGGTTTCTGTAAGGTCACACAGCCAGGGAGAGGCGGAGGCAAGATCTCCACACAGCAGCGTAGCTGGGGTATGGACCCTGCTTTATATGTTTTATGGATTTTAACATTGGCCTTCTCCTGAAAGCAGTGGGTGTAGAGATACGCAGTGAAGTAGCAAGCCACGCGCTCCTCGCAGAGTGTGGGACAGCGGCCTGAGCCTCGGCCTCCATGCGTGCAACAGGCCATGGCAGGATGGCCTCTTGGGGCAGCTGGAACTGAGGGGCATGTTGCGTGGAGTGTCTGGCCTGCCCCGTCAGCTCTAAGATCGTCAGCTCTCCTTACCTACCCAGGTGTGTTTTAAAGGAGGCATGATTTTAAATACCCACGTTTCTGGCCTTATATTTAGAGAGGGGTTGTGGCCCAGCAGAGTACCATTGTGTCACGAGATCAGAAGAGACCTTTTCTCTGAGTGTGCTGGACATTGAACTCATGGGCTCTTGACCGCTGAGCTGTACCCCAGTCCTTCAGCTATATTCCCAGTATTAAAAAAATAATATTAAATTTTGAGATAGTGTCTCACTAAGTTGCTGAGGCTGGCCTCCAACTTGAGCTTCTCTTGCCTCAGCCTCCCAAGTGGCCAGGATTGCGGGCCTGCATCACTGTGTGTCTGGCTAGAAGAGGCGTTTCTTTTTTAGTACAATTTGTGAATGGTCCCACACAGCCATGTCCCTCAGGGCCAGGGATGGCACGTGTTTTCCCAGGAGGAAGTGGATAGCCAGTGTCCTCAGGCTCCGAAGGTGGCAACTCCTCTGTTCATCCACTGTCCTATGCTCCCTCGGGGTCCACAGAGGCCATGTGAGGAGGGAGCCTGGCTGTGCCCCTCGGTCGGTATGCTCACGTCTGACTTAGGGCCACATTTTGGTGTCCCCTGTCCTTCTGGTGGGGAGTGGTTTCACGCCCCCTGGACGCTGCTTTCCAGGTCGTGCTCGTTTGGATGCCAGTCCTTGGGTTCACCCCAAGCAGGGGAGCCCCCATAAGTCAGGCCCTGCCACCTCCCCACCAGCCCAGTGCGTCAGGGTCTCGGGTGCCTGGTTTGCTGGTGGAGGGACAGACTTCTGCAGCTCCCGCCGTGGGGCTCAGAGCCCCTGTTCAGGAAGCCCCAGGCAGCTGTCCAGTGTGGCTAGTGGCAGAGAGGCACCAGCCTCCAGGGCAGACCGGAGGAGGGACTGTCCTGCCTGCTGGTGAACAGAGACAGAGACTCCGCCTCCCTGTGATCAGCTGCAGTGCCTGTTCCCAAGGTGAGTGGTGCCACAGACCCCTGATCTCAGAGATGCCACAAAGAGCCATGCTGTCACCCTGCCTGGAGGCAACGGGGTGGCTTTATCAGCGTCAGCAGACACCAGTCCCTGTTTCTTCTCAAAACAAGTTTCAGTTTTCGCGTTGGGCCTCCTCCTCCTCCTGTGCGTTGCTCATGTGGCTGCTGTTTGTTAGCCTGACTGAGAGCAGCAGGTGCTGGGCTAACCCTCATGAAATCCCAAGCCCTGCGTTGCTCAGGCTCCTTGGACAACACAAAACAAAAACAAGCCCCCCCCCCCCCGCCCCCGCCGGCTGCACGGAGGTGACAGAGGTGACACTCCTGGCTCCTGGTTCATGACATCCTCCCACTGGCCTCCGTGCTGATTCCTCATTTTCTTCCCTTTCAGTCCCTACCTGGATTCACGATTCTGCCCTTTTCTTAAAGGAAAAAAGAA